GCACGAATTGGCAAGGCTTTGTCGCGTCGCGTCGTCTCGCCGGGAACTTAATAAAAAATCCAACGCTTCTCGGCTAGAATCGTCGTCGCCGTCACAAAACACAGATTCCGCAAAGCCGGACCGCTTTCTCATTATATCGCCGATTTTTCTTTGGGAGCGCGCGTCGCCGGCGTATCCTGGGGATGTTTCATCCCCGCATTGACGGCGACACGCGGACTAGCGGATCCCTGCGAAGAAAGGGAACTCCTCGCTTGCGGTGATGGATTAAGTGTCTTTGAGTCCGCCGCTGGCGCTCCGGGTACACACGGCTCTTTATTATTTCAGCTCGCGCGACTCGACCAGGAAGAAAGGAAACCTCGCAACTTTCATTTTATGAGATGTTGCTTTTTCTGGTTTTTCTCGCGAGCATCGAGATGTAGGCTCCTAATCGGGGAGTTAATATAATTACGGAACTGATTTTTTATGGGCGGTCCGGAAGTACTGTGAAAGAGCGGAAATTTCGCAAAAAAGTCTGACATTTTTTTTAAATTTTATGTCATTTTTGTCGCAATTTCAAATTTTTGAAATTTTTCGAATTACGTCAAACGGAGGTACTTATTATTTCAGTTCGCGCGAGTCGACCAGGAAGAAAGGGAACCTCGCAACTTTCATTTTATGAGATGTTGCTTTTTCTGGTTTTTCTCGCGGGCATCGAGATGTAGGCTCCTAGTCGGAGAGTTAATATAATTACGGAAGATTCTGAGTACAACCGCCACTCCAAAAAATGATTGACAAATGTGTTTTTCCTTCTTTTTTTAGAAATTTTGAAAAGAAAAATTATTTGATTTGAGGCGGTTTTATGGGAGTGAGAAAATCGAACTAAGTTTGCTATAATACTGATTTCACGTAAGTTGATCCTCAATAAAACGGATAATTTACGCGTAGAGGTACATTACAGTGCTTTTTTCCTAAACAACCTATTTCAATACGTTTAATTCTAAAATAAAGCTATTGATGGTGATTTTATAAGATGTTGGTTTTTCTGGTTTATCTAGCGGGCATCGAAATGTAGTCTCCTAGTCGGGGAGTTAATATAATTACGGAAGATTCCGAGTGCAACCGCCATTCCAAAAACAGGGTGTCTACAAGTCCAGAGTTTCCGGAAAGTCCGGATATAGTACTGAATTTTTTAAGGGCCGTCCGGAAGTACTGTAGAAGAGCGGAAATTCCGCAGAAAGGTCCGAATTTTTTTAAATTTTTCGTCATTTTTGTCGCAATTTCAAATTTTTGAAATTTTTCGAATTTCGTCAAACGGACGTACTGAAAAAGTACGGAATTTTTCTGTTGGAGGAGGCAGGGCCGGATTTAGGGGGTGGCTACCTGGGCCGCGGTCCATGGCGGCAAATTTAGGGGGCGGCAAACTTTGCAATTTTTTCAAATTTAGGTATAAAGAAAATCGGATTCAGAAAAAAATTACAGACGAGAAGAGGCAACAAAATATATTATTTTCTGGGAGTATATTAATTTCTAATTTTGTCGTCTTTCGGTGATACCAAAGACTGAGCACCTTTAATTAGTTACGTTAAGAGAGAAACCAAACACGCAATTTGGCCTGGAGCGGCGCGGCGCAGAGAGCAATGATGACGAGGACTTGAGATAAAAAGGAGAGGCCCTCGGAGCGGCGCGGCGGTCGGCAGGAACACATATTAACGCCTACAAGAGTGAATAAATACTTCACGCATTGCGTCAAACACGGTATGGTCAACAGCGGTCGGCAAGAAACGCATAGCGCCTACAAGAGTGCATGAATACTTCACGCATTGCGTTAAACACAGTACGGTCAATAGCGGTCGGCAAGAAACGCATAGCGCCTACAAGATTGCATGAATACTTCACGCAATGCGTCACACACAGTGCGGTCAGCGTGAAATGCGTAGCGCTTACAAGAATGCATGAAATATGATCGATGTGAAGTCGCTACTTTCCGGCGCATAACATGTTTTGGCTTTATGAAGTTGTTTCAGTTTCAAAAGCGAAGTGCGGAAAGTATTCAATTCCAACAGGATTATTTTCAATTCAAAGAAGTATCACCTCATCATTGATTAAAAATTGAACTTTCATTTCATCGTCGCAAATTGCCTTCCATATTTTATTGTTTTTTAAGGGTAGCCTTAATCATTTTTGTTTCGTGAACTAGTGTGATTTTTTCTCAAGTCATAATATGAAGCTGAAACCAGCGGTTTCTGTGCTTCCAAGGATCTCACGAGAAAACGGACATTTTGAGGCTGCGCCATCAGCATATGAGATTTTGTATCTTCTCGCCCGCGCAGAGTAAATATGTACCGCACGTCTAAGGAGCTGAAATCGGAAGAGTGACGAGTTGATACCGCGGGATGCCATAGAATTTGAGGGCTCCTCTTTGATTCGTCGATCCGCCGGCAGAGCTGAGATAAACAGAGCCAAATGGATTTTCGGCAATCAAAAGCAGACATCAAGTTTGAATTAGAGTTGGCAAACGAATGCTGCGCCGCTAGATTGCGGAGTTTTGTCATCCACCGGGTACCTAGGAAATTCTCGGAACATTGAATAATAATGTAGATAGGTACAAATTTTTTAGATTGATACTATGCATAATAATATGGTCTCACCTGGTAGGAACGATATCTTTGAATGAAGCTCGTTTAAATAAAACGAAATTAAATATAAAAGACTCTTTTTCGCAGAGTAACGTATTTGCAGTGGAAAACTGGCCCGGCGCATAGAGGGCTATCCCCCTCCCCCCTAGAAGAACCTCTTCTAAGGGTGCCATTCGGTAAATCGTAAAAAATTGTGACATCTATTTTTGAGTGTGACGTTTCGCGAGATTGCTCTGGAAAGCGGGACGTTAAATCGTTCGGACGAAGGCAAAAAATCCACCAAATAGACAAAATCATGTCAGCTTCTGGAGTTAATTGACGAGCTTACCCCTGCAAGTTGATGTATTATTGGACGTATTTATGCTGAAAGGAACTAACTGCATAAGGTTTGCGTGTTGCATAGATCTTTTTAGCATAAATAAATCCTATTTTCGTTCACTTCTTGGTTTTTTGTCTGCACGAGGATTTTCTTTTTGCACCGGATACTTTTTAAAAAATCCCGCGGAGCTTCTTCGGGCTTCTTTTAGACCTTCTCTTCTCCCGTTTGTATCAGGAGGAACCCCCATTTCGCTTTTCAGGGGCGCTCTCTCCCTGCAGAATTCTTAGACATAATCCTCCTTCGTTTATTTGGTAGAGTATACACCGTAAGATCTTAAATTTTTCATTATTATCAAAAAGGAGGGAAAACCCTGTGCTCAATCGCGGTGGAACCACCCTAATTCTCGCCTTGAGTAGCAACCCATTCGGCAACACCATCCCCGACACGATGTTCCTCGCCCACATTCACTGCAACGTTCTCATTCCCAACCCCCATAGTTACAACTCACTTCAAAGTCGGCCCGAACCCAAGGACTGTAATTCTGTAAATGCATCGGTATAATGGACGTCCGCGTAGCTCTCGGAACAACCTGTGCTTGAGTCTTGATCCATTTAAATTACGCAACGACGTCGCCTTGCCAAATCTCCCCTCGAAATCATCCGAAAAATCCGAACCCACGCCAAACGCGACAACGGCGCTGCAATTTCTCAAGAGTTTCAGCTTTTTAATAGAATGGAGGATCCCCTCCTCTATATCCGCCCTCCAGATCGCAGCCCTGAAACATAACGCGGTTTACTCTTGATTTAAAAACACAAGTTCCAGCTAAGTTTCCCGTCGCCCCCCCCCCTCCCTCCGCCCCCGACGCTGCGGCGGAATTTAAATCCTCCCTATATAAGATTACTGCGACATGACTCAGTTAAGAGCGCTGCCCGCTCAAAGCGAATTTGCCATTTAAATAAGCTTTAATAAATCCGAATCGGTTTTCGAACCAATCTTTTTTTACCTCGGATACGAAGTTGGCCGACGTCTGAAAGTTGGACGCGGTAATTTTTCCCCCGTTTTAATTTCGACCGCCCCCCCCCCCCCCCCCCCCNCCGTCCGTCGCGGGGGTCGCATATTTTTTAAGTTTCCATTTTTCTGCCTGTCGGTCGCGTAAACTTTTCGCGCGAATCATGTACGTGGAGTGGTTGAAACTTTTTGGCATGTTCTCGGTTGCGGGGGATTTCGTGTGACAATTTGCAAGTTATTGACTTGAAAATCGAAGAACTTAAATATAAATTCAGAATCCTGAAATATCTCATCAGCACAATTTCATTTCGCAATTTCAAAACGCCGATTTTTGCGATTTAAACGCAACAAGGTGAGTGCACTCTTGCCTCCACTGGAAAAAAAATACATTGGATCTAGAGTCCAGACTCTTGAAAACATTGACAAGAAAAAGGACTCTTGATTCAACCAGATTTAAGCTTAAATCAAAAGGAAATCCGCTCAAATTAAGAGGCTAGGTTCTTGATTTAAGCTTAAATCTGATTGAATCAAGAGTATTTTTTCTTTTCGATGTTTTGAAGACTCTGGACTCCAGATCCAATGTGTTTTTTTTTCCAGTGTCTCATTTTTGCGCCCCGTACGGTCTTCGTCAAGCGCTATAACGGAGGGGCAATGTAATCCGATATACAACGATTTCAACTTTCGAGTCGCTCAAATTGCCCGAGAGCAAGAACTCGTTCTCTGTATTTCCTCGTCCCATCCTTTCTTCATGAAATGCCACCCCCCCCCCTTATGGGACTAAATTATGCGATACAACTATTTTAACTCCAAAGGCGCTCAAATTGCATAACGATGGAATTGAAGGTGCGCTAAATATCGTACCTTTTCTTTGGTAGCGCTCACATGTTACGATCATACATTACAGAATTCACGCAGGAAAGGAGTGTCTAAGTCAGTGCGTTACGGTACTTCGTGACTGGGGTCTAACGCCAACGTAACGTAGGGAAGTATTACGGATATTTTTCAAGCAAGTTATGATAGTTGGACATTTGATTAATTTCTTGTTGTCATGTTCGCAGGTTTGAAACCCAGGATGAAGAATCATTTTCGGGCGCATCAATTGTCTGTTTGGTTACGGCTCATTCCCGAACTTCATCGAGCAGGTAATTAATTGTTTTCGTTAGTATTTTTCATCTTGTACGTCCGTATTTTTGTTGTTGTTCTACTTATTTAATTTACATTGAGTCAAATTATTCGACCGACCAAAATTGCAATCTTTCTGCTCATCTCGGGTGTGTTGTAATGGGAAATCAATGAAATATTCAAAAGAAAAAAGTGAAGGAGAAAAAAACAGGTCTCCTTTTGCATACAAATTAAAAATAACGAAAAAGGTTTGACGAATTTCCATGCAGATTAGTCTTTCGACTTTTATCATCTACAACTTTTTGCAATAGCTACGTACATTCAGAAACAGTCTCATCGTGAGGTACAATCCAATCTTCGAAGAACACTATCACAATGAGACGAATTGAGGGATACAACTATTTAAACCCCCAAGTCGCTCAAATTGCATAACGGCCAAATTGAAGGCGCACGTAATTTCCCTTTCTGTTACAGTCCTTTTTAGAAGTTCATAATTATCCGCTCCACGTGGAACGCTCTCTCGATTAAACAAAATCAAACGATACTACTATTTTAACTCCCAAGTCCGTCAAATTGTATAACGGCAGAATTGAAGGCGCGCTATTTCTCTTCCTATCACAGTCCTATCCGTTCTACGTGGAACGTTTTAACAATGATACAGAATCAAACGATACAACTCTTTTAGCTCCAAATTCGCTCAAATTGCACGACGGTAGAATTGAAGGCGGCCCCAACTTTTCCCTCTGGGCGAAAACCGCACTGGAAAGAAAAACACATTGGATCTAGAGTCTAGACTCTTAAAAACATCGACAAGATAAAATACTCTTGATTCAATCAGATTTAAGCTTAAATCAAGAACCAAGCCTCTTAATTTGAGCGGATTCCCTTTTGATTGAAGCTTAAATCTGATTGAATCAAGAGTCCGTTTTCTTGTCAATGTTTTCAAGAGTTCCCCGCGAATTGGTGTGGACCCAGCACCATTTCTCCACCTTCTTTTCAAGAGTCTGTACTCTAGATCCAATGTGTTTTTTTTTCCATGGCGAGTAACTCCAAAGAAAACCCTTCGGAGACACTTTGTTTTTACTTAGCTCTTCGGAATGTAAGTAGAGGCCGGAGGGTATTTTTTCTCGGGCATGATTTCCATGCTGACACAAAATTTTGACCGATAGGAAACCCGTATCGCTCTGGGCGAGGAAGCGCCCGACACACCTGAGCGACGCGACACGGCGCGACACGGCGCGACACGGCGCGACACGGCGGGGGCGCTGCGCTGCGGTGGTGAGCACCTGAGGCGCTGAGCGCTCCGCTCGTTAGTTCTCAGGTGTTCTTCAAGTGCACTCCACGCCCTTCTAAACCCCCCTCGCCCCCGCCCCCTGGCCTGCGCCTTCTTTTGCGTATTCTTACTTTTCACTCGAGTCTTTGAAAGCGTAAAAAGCCCCAGGCCTCAGCCCGCGCGGAAACAAGAAACTAATTTCGAGGCGACTCGCGGTTTCCAGTCACCGCAACCGTTGCCACGTCACGAATCCGGACAGAAGGGGAAAAACGTCGTTTTCCACAGTAGCATGTCGTGCTTTGCGATGTATCGATTGATTTCGGCCATTTAAACCTATGGAAAAGTATCGATAAACTGTAGGTTTGCAGCGAACACCTTCATAATCGATTATTTACCGTAGCTTCAAATGGGGAAATATCGATGGATCGCAAAGCACGCCACGCCTTAGGCCTCATACATTACTCTTATGATTTTATGTTATACAGGGTGTCTCAGAATTAAGTACGAATATTGAAGGATCAGTCGAAGGATCGATATTGAAAGATCGATTCTTCGTCAAAAAAAGACGTTTTTGTGGTATAACTTTTTTTTCCAAAAGCGCTTTCCCTGGAGGCCACCCCCACCCCTTCGGCCCTACCCGCGCTCCATTCAGTCTGTATTATCTTGAAAACAAGGAGTCGTAGCGAAAAAATGCAAGACACAACCGAATGTCTGGCAACATTTTCCTAATTAAATCACAATTTGAAATTTGATCACGTCCTTTTGTCGACGAATTGTAACGCGTTCCGGAAAGCCACATTTCAACGGAGTCAAATGAAGAAGTGAGCAGACAAAACACAGACATCTAATTTTTTTTGCCAAATTAATTGTTATATTTTCAAAACCTATCACGAGAAGGTTACATTGGCAGCCTTTTTTACCTGGCTATTCCCGAACCAAAAGAACTATATGCTTAGTGTGTTCATACTTCATACAAATAATTACTTTTAATTTAATTCATTTGTGAGTATAGTCATTTCGACACAAATACGTTATTTTAGTACGTATCGTTTTAAGAGTATTTTTTGAGTGTGGGCAAATATTCCTACTGAACAGAAAGAAGAAAAAGGACAATAGAAGGATGAGCAATCCGAAGGGTTAACAATTTGAGAAGTTTAAGTCACGAATACTACTAGCTGTGTAAATACTTCAATCAATTAAAATCCAACCGTGAGCAGAACAACTTTGAATAACTAACGTAGATATTATATCATAGTTCCCCTGGCAAAGTTTTAAAACTATTCTGATATGTATAGCCTATCTCAGACTTGACATAGTTCTACAGCCTTGGAAAGTTCACAGTGTATACTGCATTACGGTGAGTATAACAGCGCCAGCGATGGAACAAAACTATTCTTGGCGAGGTCAACACCCTCAAGTTAGACTGTGACCCTTATTCCTGTAAGAGAGATTTTTTTCCTTCAACAGCCTCGTTAACTGCTATGCTCGGGAATAATTAATTTACCGACGCTTTTGATGCTCAGCTCCCTAGGGAAAATCTTGGGAAAAGGAACCAAAAATTTTGTCGTATACAAGCGTGCACCGTGAAGAAAAATTGGACATGTTTATGTAAAAAGGAAAAAAAAAAAACTCGGTACAAATGAAATGAATCAAAAGTAACTATGTAAGTAAAACTAGCTTGCGGCAGACATTTTTATTTAATTCATTTGTACTTAGTTTCTCAGGAGTAAATGCGTTCAATTATTCCATGTACTATTTTCAAAAAGGTGTCACACCCGCCCCTGTGGTTATACTCATATTATATATCTCTTAATTTATTTGATTCATCTCTCTGGAGGTGAAGGAGGGGACAAAAAGGAATAACTCACTCACGAGCTACGTAACTCAGTGGAAAGCGTTTTTACTGATCGGCCAATTTTACCTCCGTAGGAAATTGGATTTGAAATAAGGCACAAAGGAGTTCTCTTCTCCTTAGAAAAATCGATGTTTGAATTGGTTTGAATTTGATGTATCGGGTTACTTCAATTTTTTGTCTGCTTATAATTTGACTCATTATATAATCAAAATTAAGAACCATATAATTATATATGTACTTAAGGGCGGAATACGGGTGCCTTAACTGACTAGTGTTGCGCGCGGTGAAAGGGGNGGGGGGGGGGTTCGTGAATGAGACGATCTGAACTCGTATACCCCTCGCTTATGAAGCACCTTCATTTCACCATGATGCCGCTTCATTTCCGCAGAGTTGAATGATTTAACTACTCGTGACTTTGCAGGATTTCTACAATACCGTATCACGATATACGCGCATTCATACCTCTCGCCTGTGCTAATAAAGCACCAAAGAGGCAAGCTATTATTTGGATCGCACTCAGCAAAAAGGAACCAGCTCTACTACGGTGTTTTAAAATGTTGCTTCTTCATTATTATCTTTTAAAAAAATCTGTCAGAATAGCAAATAGTTTTTGCTTCCCACCAACAAATTGTCAATTTTATAGGAAAATACCTGTGTAAATTTTGATACTGTACATATTAATTTTAAAAAAATAGAAGAATACGCACGATTTTGAAAACGCGCTGGTTTCTTTTTGCACAGTGCGATCCATTTTATCCTATTAATTAATTTTTTGCAGTTATGATTCATTGCCACTTTGGGCTCGAATTACCAGAAAGTTTAGGAATTCAAAGTAATTATGTAAGAGGACAACCTCGCATACTTCAGCGCGACTTGCAACTCAGTCGCTTACAACAAAATTTCGATGGTTTGTAAGCTGCGACTTTTGACCAGGCTAACTGCATTTCGGCCGAAATTGACTCGAGACTTGGGAACATGTGCGCAAAGGAAATTAAACGAGAAGTTTGCAGGCTGCCTTCGCCTTAAACGAATCATGGAACTCACACACATCTCGACGGCAGCATAATCAGCGACTATAATTATCGTTTCGTCTGTCTGTAGAGAGTCAGTTTCCGGAGTAATTCACTTTTCAAAATAATCAACGAATGTAATTTCAGAAAACTTGCCCCTGCAGAGCTGCGAGATGTTTAAGCAACAATGAGGAGCTTCACTCTCCTAATTGCGTCGCATCGTAAAACGCATGAAAAGTTTGACTTACTCGCTTCTACGATGATTTCATCCTTCTGTACTACTTCTTCCTCTTGGCGCGTGCTGTACTCCGTACTTTATATCGATGATGAAACTACAGAACCACGGATTTTAATTGCCCTGTTTTAAAAATTCCGCTCATCCCAAGTAGCAGTGATCGCGATAAATAGCGATTTTATCGGTTGGTTATCCCGATTATGTCGGTGGCAATGAATCAAGATACTATCGCATTAAAAATCGCGATATAGGTATGGCGATTAAATCGCTACATATCGCAATTTTTAGTTCGATAAAATGGTGATCAATTTTCGTCGATTAAATTGAGATTAAATCGTCATTCATCGCGATTTTTATTTCGAAAATATGGCGATTAAATGTCGGGCGATAAAAGCGCGATTTTATCGCGATAAGATCGAGGATAATCGCTCAGATGTTGTCGCTATATATAACAATTTTTCCGTTGAGAAATCCTACTTGGGATATTCTATTTTTGTCTGGAAAATTCTGCTCGAATTTTTTCCGCAGAGAGAGAATTTTGTTGACACCAAGAAGCAAAATAAATTTTATGAAATTCCACTCCAACGTTTGCACGTATGGACTTGTTTAAGCTCAACAGAACGACCTGTAAATGAATTTATTTAACACATAAGATTTGCATGTTTTTCTCATAAGTACGTCCTTTTGATCAATCTTAACACTTCAGTGCATTTTTGGATACCTACTTAATACGAGAGGAGGGAAAACATCAAATAGCCCCCTTCCCTCCTACCGTCAAATACTTATAATTCATTTTTCAAAATAGGTATACTGGTTGGAACGAATCAGGATTTTTTTGTGCGGGAGGCGGAAGGTCCCCTCAACAAGAGGACATCCCTAGCTCCAGAGAAGGGCTCAGGGAAAATTCACCAACATTGAAGAGGGGTTGAAATTTTGAAAAATTAAACCACCCCAGGAGCAATTTTGAGCTGTTTTCATAAAAAAATTGAGCAAATTACAATTTCCAGGATGAAAAAAATGTCACACACTTACTTGGCAAAATCCCTCACCATTTTTCATTTGAGAGGCCTGGTATATTTCTGAGGGAGGCAGACCCCCCGGCACCCCTAGTTTGCCCATTGAGTTAAAAAGAGGAAAAATAGTATGGCCCACTCGCTAAAATCGCCACCTCCTTATTCGTAAATAGTACTACCACCTGAGTTTCGTTCAAAAGTGGCCTTATGATTTTGCAATCCTCCCAGCTTCAGTTGACTTTGTTTTCTATTTCTTTCTTTGTCAGCATTTTACTCCGTCTTCCTCATCTCCTTTTCCCTTTTCTTTTTCTCCTTCTTCTTTCGCTCTTTCCTCCTCCTTCTTTGCTCTTTTTCCTCCTCTTTTCTTATTATCCTGCTCCTTATTCTCCTTCCTCTTCTTTTCCTTCCTCTCTATCTCTTTCTTCTCTTCCTCCTCCTCCCTCTGCCTTTCTGATCAGGGCCAGGGCCAGGGAATAGTATGGCTCACTCGCTGAAATCGCCACCTCTTTATTCGTGAGTAGTACTATCACCTGAGTTTCGTTCAAAAGTGGCCCTATGCTCTTGCAATCCTCCCAGCTTCTGTTGACTTTGTCCTCTATTTATTTCTTTATCAGCATTTTACCTGCGTGATTCCTCTGTTGCAGGGATGGAGGACGTGGTGGCGCGTCACAACCTGTTCCGGAACCACAACGACGGTGAGCTCTACGACGGGGTGGTGCGAGCCGACCCGCTGTCCCGGCCTGGCCCGGCCGGCGGTGGTTCCGGGCCGGAGCCGAACCGGCACCTCTCCGGCTCGAGCTCGGTCGGCGGGGGTGGCCCGAGCAACGGGACCGTGGCCGAGATCCTCTCGGCGCCGACGACGGTGACCCCCGAGACGGCCCTGACGACCTGCATGAGTCTCCCCGTCTCCGTCCACTCAGCCGCCAACGCCACCGTCGAGCGGGAGCTCCCTGGCTACACCGTCAACTCCACCGCCTTCTGGATCACCGTCGGCATCGGCTGCACCCTCCTCGTCCTCAACCTACTCATCTTCGCTAGTATATACTATCAGCGTGACCGATCCAAGATGGAGTCGCACAAGCAGCACAACTCATCTATCATCGGCATCTCCGGTGGACCGGCAGGTAATACTGCTTCTTCTTCTTCTTCTTCTTCTTCTTCTTCTTCTTCTTCTTCTACTTCTTCTTCTTCTCCTCCATCTCCATCTTCTTTCTCTTCTTTTACCTCTCTGCTTCTTCTTGTTCTCCTTTACTTTCTTCTCTCTCTCCGTCTTCCACATATCCTTTTCTTTTTCCCTCTCCTTCACATATCCTTCTCCCTTTTCTTTTTCTCCCTCTTCTTTCGCTCCTCCTCCCGAGATTCTTTCTTCTTCGCCTCTCCTCCTTCTTTGCTCTTTTTCCTCCTCTTTTCTTATTACCCTTCTCCTCATTCTCCTTCCTCTTCTATTACTTCTTCTCTTCCTCCTCCTCCCTCTGCCTTTCTGACCACGGTTCAGCATAGAGTACATAGAGTCGTAATATGTAGATGGGAGAGCTGGCGCCACTTTTAAGCATTTTTCAGGTCCCGAATTCCAAGACTCCTGTGTGTCACACCGGGTCACTTTTTCAATATATAATCAATATTTTTCAATACTCGGGTACCTGGTCATCTGATGTAAACAAAGAGGATAGGAATCACTGCGTATTCTTCATCGCCATTTTGGATCGAAAATGTATCGGAAAAGTAACTGAAGCTCGGCGCACACCGGGCTCGGAACTCGTCGACCAGAACATGGCGCCAGCTCTCCAATTTACATCACGACTCTATGTACTCTACGGGATTCATGGCCAACGCCCTGTTTTGCCAAGCCTCCTATTCCAAGAAATCGATGACCTCTGGAAATGAATGGCAGGTCTTTGCTCTCTTCATGAGGAAAATAGAATCTAGCTCTTACGATCCTCATAGGAGATTTAAGGTCTTAAAGTGTTAATTTTGGGGGTAGAACACAAAATCTACTCTGATCTTCCGAGCCAGATATGCTATGGATTTTCGTGGTTAATTGTTCCTTTTTTATTTATATAATTTGCACGTAGCACCTCATAACATAATTACGCCCATTGCTGGGATTAATTAAACTACAAGTAATAAGGAATTAAGTTTTAATCGGTTTTATTCAAGGGCTTTTAATTGGACCGCGTTCAGCAGAAAGGAATCAAAGCCACATCAGCTATTGCCAAATTTAATCGGGCGATTTAATTGTTTACATGAAAACGGTTTTTGTGCAAATTTCAGGGAATCTTTTGCCAAGTGCGAATCAAATTCTTTATTATTTTCAAAGGGATTTGCACAAACGTTCTCTTATAAAACATTAAACTGCCTGGTTGCAACAGCTGATGTGGCTTCGTTCCTTTCTGCTAAACGCGATCCAATTTTTCTTAAGGTGATTCGTCAAGCTCAAGTGACGTGGTCGAACTGGCATGCGATATATCGCATCTTTTAGGTCAAAAGCCTCGGCAGATTTTAAATTTTCAGCAAAAAAAGGACGGTAGCCTCTGCGCATGAGCTTCAAGAATCATTCTAAACCCAAAAATCGGCAAAATTCAGAGAAATGAAACCAGGATAGTGTTTGGAAAAAAACCTCGCATTCGATACAGAAATCGATAGCTGAATCGAATGCGAGGTTTGTACCTAAACACTATCCTGCTTTCATTTCTCTAAATTTTTCCGATTTTCGGGTTTAGAATGATTCTTTAGGCTCATAAGCAGGGGCTATGGTCCTTTTTTTGCTGAAAATTCAAAATCTGCCCAGATTTTGGACCTAAAAGATGCGATGTATCGCATGCCAGTTCAACCACTTTTTTTGAGTTTGACGAATTACCTTAAGATTACTAGGCAGCTCTAAATCCACAAGGATCCAACGATGAATTATTTCTTACCCTTTTTTGGAATGGTTGAAGATTTTTCAGGATCCCTATTCTTTTGAATGATCTGCATGGTAATTATATGCTTATAGGACCGCCGGAGCACTCGAAGAACTGGTCGACGGAGCCGAACAACTACACCCGGGTGGACGTGGAGTCGAGTCTGTACCAACAAGGCTACGTCTACCAACCGGGGCGGCAGTTCGGGTTCAACACGCTGCCGACCAAGGCGCAGCTCGCCAAGCAGTTGATGCCCAACGATCTGACCTCGACGCTGCCCTGCCCGAGTCAGATCCACCACTCGGCGTCGTCGACGTTCCTGCACAACCCGGGGGCGCCGGGGCCCCCGAACGGCTCGGTGGCCATGCATCTGCCGGTGCCCAAGCCCCCCCAGGCCCCCCGGAGCAAGTCCCCGCCCGAGACGACCCCCCTCATCCAGCAGCCGACCCCCATTCTCAAAGTGCCTACCGCCGCCATGAGTGAGATGCGAGTTTGAGGCTCGGTCCTGCCCGTCGGGGGAGGGGAGGGTAGTCAACGCGTCAGCTTTCTCTCTCTCTCTCGCACTGAACTTTGAAGTGTAAAGATGAGCTGGTCGAATTTAACCAGAGACAAGAGACCCTCCGCTGGCCTCCTAGCGACAGATGGAAGCTTTTATACTTTCGAGGTTTCAACAATTCCTTATGGACAATTATTGGGGAGCAACAGTCATCACCCTAGTTTCGGCTGTTGACTTACCTACATGGTGGATAATGAGCTTCGGATGACGTCATGAGCTAAACAAGTTTCCCAAACGTCGGCCATTTTCGGCTTATTTGCAAAACGAAACTGTCAACACGTTGTTGAACATCAACCCTGTAGGTAAGTCAACAGTAGAATGCTCAAGTCTCGAAAGTAAAAGCTTCCACCATGGTCAAGATACTATAGTGGAGGGTCTCTTGCCTCTGAATTTAACGCAGATCAGCCTAACCTTGTTTCACGTTGCCTCATTTCCGCTTTCGTCTTCTCTTCGTGCAAATCAAAACCAGAGGCGGATCAAGCAATTTGGCAACAACGGATTGCCTCCATTTAAACCTATGCTAAATAATCGATTCTTGTCGGAGCCTAGCCCCCCAAGAATCGATACATTTCCATAAATTTACATGGAGAAAAGACAATGTTGCCGATTCGCTGGGTCCGCCAATGATCAAAACTAAAATATGAAACGGCTTTAAACCATCCATATCCGGCTCGTTGAGAAAATGTAGTGGTTGTGATACCTCTGCCATAGTAAAGAAGAACGCCGCGTGGAAATTTGGACATTCAGCCAAATTTCTTTCGATAAAACGTTTATTTTTTAAAAAAGTTATCAATGTCTCTGTAGGAAATTTTCTTCAGATTAAACTGCGTATAAAATTGTCTGGAAAAATTGGAGGAAATAATTCAAGTCTCCCTGAAAATTTGTGTTTTATCAAACGAAAATTGGCAACGCCCGATTGCCCATACGGCGTTCCTCCTTAGATTGGCAGAACTGATGTAGTGGTGTTCTAAAAACTCATAAGAAATCTTGGCCACAACCAATGATAGAGGTGATTTTTACGATTGAGTAATAGTGCTATTATTGGGCATGGTTATCATGAATTAAGAATTCACATGGGACACCGATACTTAAATAAAGGCTTCGCCCAATTACATTTCGTGGATTGAAGTGAGGCAGAATCTCTCCAAAAATATCGACTCTGGGTATAAGTCCCTCTCTGAAATTCGACCTTCAAAATGTGACATTTCTTCACTCAATCCAAAATACGATTCAGACATTTCAGAGGACATTGCGGTACCTTCACTTGCAAATCAGCTCATTTCAGTCGAGGGAAAGTTGGCGCCATGACTACTTTTACAGCTCTGTAACCTGACAGAATAATTAGGAGTTGAAAATTTTTACTATAGTTTTTTGTTCTTTTTTCTTTTCATAAATTGTCGCTCACTCTTAGGATTCAAAAATTTCGAATGGTAACCTCACCTGTGTTTTTGGACCTCTGCCAATATTTAGCATAATTTGACTGCAAAAACATGTAATTCTACAAGATTCTCTGTGAAGATTGAAGTCTTTCTTACTTCCTTCGCACACTTAGGAAAATGATTTTTTAAACGAATATTTCACGGCAACAAAGTTCGGCCCCATCATTCCAACATTTCCAAACGCTTGATCGTTCAACCACTTTAGTGTTACTCATTTAGTTTTATCTAGTGAGATTTTTTTAAATTTAGCGCGTGAATATCTGTCATTACGTCGCTAGAGTGGAACTTTTGTTTCAGTCAAGTAATACAATTTGTTTATTCTTTTGAAAAATTGAATTAACTTATGAACAAATAAACGAATCTTTCGTAGCACATCATATCGTCCAAAAATGTTTGCTGAGGTATACCAGATGAAGCTCCTCGCGATCGCGATGAGCATTGTCGATTCTCGCAAGTTGACGGTACAGTTTTTCTCCTGCTATTAAATTCAATAATAAACAATCGATTCTAGGTTAAGTAGCCTCCTTCGATATGTATCGATTTTTTTACATGCCTTTAAATAGGCGAAGTCGAGTGTTGCCGACTCGCGAGAATCGCTACTTGCGATGAGCCTGTAAATATTTCAGTGAAACTCAAATCCAACCATGTTTTGTAAATACTGTTTCTATGTTCTTACGGCACTTACTTAAGTTACTTCGAATCAGCGTTGTTTGACAGTATACGATGACGTCACAAAACTTCTCCCTTTCCTCATTCACCTGAGTACACCGTATGGGAGGAGCATGGTGTATCTACAAAGGATGTAAGGAGAGACGCAGTGACGCAAGAACGTACCTTATTCTAAACTGTAGTTCTATCGTGAATCAGAATAAGTTTTGACCTAGGCTTCAAATGATATTACTATTTGTTCTCTTTGTCAAAAGACCCTGGTAAAAATTGGCAATAGGAGCTTACGTTTCATAATACCACAGGAGTTCTTATAGCCGACTGAAGAGGGCGATAGAAAATCAAATAGCTGGCCGTAGGAAGTGGAAAAAATCATACGGCCGGGCTACACGAAGCGATAAAAAATTATACAGCCGGGCTTTACACTTTATCGCCTGGCTGTTGCTTTTTCGCCATCGGCTATAAAAGGCTATAAGAAATTGTGTAGAAATTCTTGTGCTTTGTAAATCCTTAAGTTTGTACGGAATCACCTTAATATTTACAAAACGCACATTATATTTTCCTTTACTACATAATTTTTTTCATCAATTAAAATGAGAATAATCCATACAGAGTGTGCAAACATTTCAAAGTCATGAGTTGAACAACGCTGACTCCACGAGATTAAATATTAGAGCCTAACACAAAGCGGAGCGGCGGCGCACTGGCGCCTACAAACCTAACAGGGATACTTCACGCATTGCGCAATGCGTGAAGTATCCCTGTTAGGTTTGTAGGCGCCAATGCGCGTTCAGCACTGGCTGCCCGCCCGCCGCGGCGCTTGAAGCAACTATTTCACACCAGAGGTATTGCACAGTATCATACGAAATTGAAGGCGCTCCAACATATTAGGAATGGCAGGCATCCTTCAAAAGTACGGAGCTTTCCTCGCAAATTTAATCAAGATACTGCGGCCAAGAAAGAGAGCGGTAGTCCAAAAACTCACTAAGTCTTAGCATCCGTAATTCGTAACGTTTAGCACACACTTTATCGCCAGGCTGTTGCTTAGTGGCCATCGGCTATAAAAAGGCCATAAGAAATTGTGTTGCCGGCTATAAAAGCTATTGGAAATCTTACAGCTGGCTGTAGGTCTATGGTATTTTGGAACACAGATTCTACTGCCAATTTTTACCAGGAGAGGCCGCCTCAAACAGTGGTGGCGAGGCGTGAATGATCGATTTTAGATATTTTCCTATTTGAAGCTATATGGTTAAGAATCGATTATTAAGGTGTTCGTTCCGAGCACCCTGTTTATCGATCCTTCTCGAAGAAATTCGCACTTTGCTTTTCTCGAAAAAACGGCGCTAAGTAAGAAAAACCCGGATAGTGGTGGATCATAAATTGATTAATTTTTAAAACTAACTCGCTAAAACGCGAAAGGCAATATTCTCTTCGAACTTTTGTGTGATTTTTTTGAGTAAATGGGAAGGAGTCCCTCCTCTCACTTTACTTGATGAAAATTGATTTTACAAAGGAAAATGGAGCGGAAGTATTAACATTTGGAGTCAGATCTTTACCTACGTGATACTTAACTGAATTGTTGCATAGCATAGTCTGAATACGCTGTTTCATTACCTCAGGAGAAAAAAAAGACAAAAAAAAAATATGTTATCTTTATTTTCTTTTGACCTCCGTGGTGCATGCGTAGGAACATAACTTCCCGCTGGTTAAGAAAAGACCGTATTTCCCATTTTGGAGTTCGCCTTACTGAAAATTCAGTATGAGGATGAGACAGATTTTATGAATCAAAACTGTAGTATTTCGCCCAAAAACATGTCAGATTCCAGAAAATAATAATCTAAAAACATGAACCGAAGAATAGAGCCCCCTTGAGACTGCAACAATTGAAGCAGGCGGCGAATCTCCTTCATTTCCCAAGTTATGCAACCGGACCTACAAGAACCGGACCTAATGAAAGGAAATGATGGCAGCAGTGAACTCGGTTTTATCCTGAGAAATTCGCATCCATAACGACGAGTTACTTTCTTCATTGCATTGTAACACTTTCGTCACTAAAAATATGTGTCCGCTTACAATTCTTTCACATTTTTGGTTTTCACCAATTAACAAGATTTTCACACAGATACTCAGTTTGAGAAAGATTGGTTTTGGGAAAGGTTGCGTGTCTCAACCATTATACATATGTAGGTATGAAAAGTTTGTACCACGGAGGTCGCAGAGTTTTGTACCATTGTTAAAATGAAAAGTACACCTCGAAAGATGAACTGTTTGAAGTACTCGTTGCTCCGCACGGTTTCCTTGCTCTTTCTACGAACGATACTTGTAAATACATCATCGCGAGAACAGAAAATTGGTACGTCAATTTACGTATTATTTTGTTGACTTACTTTTTGTTACTACTTATTTTTCGTTGTTTTTCTGTTAAGTTTTGGTTTGTTATTTATTTTTATACTCTTCTATCTGAATGACACTGAGCATTCCCTTGGGTCGCAATTAGTACTAGCGGTATCGTAGCAAGCAAAAGGATCATGATGTATCATACGATCAGTAAAGTTTAACAATAAGGCAGTCGATTCCTTATTCTCTAAGCAACTTATAAAGGAGGCAAATTACTCCGTCTTTCCTGTTTACTCCCTGTACTAAGAAATCTAATCATATGTCTAATTAAAAAAGCCCGATCACTCAGAAGCTGGCTAAGGTTTGAATAATTCCAACTGAACTGTTCGATTTTTTCTGAACTGTAACGAAAAATTAAGAACTTAAGGAGACAGTTAATCTCTTACGCGACGGTTCCCGGACCTGGTCGGCTGTGCAACTAAGCACGCATATTGCCTCAGAACTTGAATAATTGTGAGTTTGACTTCACCGTTCTTTAAAATTCTACCGAATTCCTCAAAACGACCGGATGTAGGTACCTATTTTTATTTTCTCGCTCCCCTAGGGTAGAGAGGAAGTATTGTTTTTTTTTGACCTCTCAATAAATCGGATGATATGATCTCTATAATTGGTCGCTTTTCCACCCGCCATTTAACCTCTAGAGAATTTAAGTTCAGCTAAAGATCTCTTTCCTG